GAGATGGTCAGACTTCTTCACGAAAGCTCTGAACGAAAGGAATGTTCTGCCCGGTGTCCCTCGAGCAAGTACGATTCACTGCACTACTCTGGCTCGCGACAGGAACGAATAGAGACGTCACTGGCGCCCGCTCGAAGAAATCGACGATCAACGGGAGTACAGGTGATTGTAGATTGGAATGCGGTGGAGCCTTTATCGTAGTTCCTTCCTCCAGTTTCCTTCAAATCTTTCGGTCAATTTTCTGGCATCGTAATTATATTTTTTACGCGGACTGATATTTTCGAGGCCTTGGAACCTATTTTCCACTTCCTTACTTTCTTATTTTGTTTCTCGTTCGCCCCTCATCATGTTTTCCTCCTTTCCTCTGGCTTTTTCGTTGTTTTCGCTTTTCCTACTGCCTACTTAAGGTCTCCGATTTCACTTTGTTTTTATCGGTCCTAACTGGCTAGACCGTCTTCCTCGATTTCTCTTAGGTCTTATTTATCCGTCTTCATTCGAATCCACATTTATTTGTTTGATGAAGGACAGAATACGATTCCACACACACCTTTCCTATCAATTTCCTTCTCCCTTCTCTTATCTATTCATGTTTTTCTATTCCCCCTTTACACTTATGTTGCGTTTGTTGATGGTTTCAGACCCCCTTTCATTCTCCCTCCGATTTTCTCGTTTCGTTTTTGCTCTCAAATTCGTTCTCGCTTCATTTTTGTTCTCAATCAAAAGAAGACAATTCGTCTCGTGAACAAATCTGCCCAATATTAAATTATTCAAACAAAAATTAATAACAAAAACAAATATTAAGTAAAATAATCAGTAGAACTCATATCAACATAAGTACATCCCTAGATCAATTATAATAGTAATATTTACAGTATAACCATTATAGGATTTCAGAAAAACATAAGCCGGTTATGATGTTTAGTAATACGAGTTCTTCTTTCAACATTATCTCTCGACAGTTCCAGGTAACCTCAGGTGTTAATTGATGTGAGTGATTTATTCAGCTCTAAAAGCCATTTTTACAACCCATCTAAAAGACAAACATCCTGATAACAAGCCCCATCAATCTATCTCGGACGCTCCCATGAATGCACTTTCTTGATAGGGAGTTCCCAATGGAATTGGGAAGCAGTGGGAGCGATGAATGTATGGGCGGAGTCTACCTCCCATCGATCATTGGCAACAGTTTTTAACTTTCTAGCTGGGCCTTTTGGTCGTTTGATCGAGGACCATTTAGAACTCAACCAGTAGGTTGAAGACAGTTTCCAGTTACCGCGTGAAGTAGTTCCCGCCCATACAATCACGATCCTACTAGGTACTTATCGAGTTCACTGCCTCTGAATAAACGTTCCAAAGTACAAATAAGCTTTGGAGAGGCACTTTGAAACTCACGCCATCATCACGTGGCTACGAAAAAGCTCTTAAGGCCTTTACGTTTTCTTCGCTGCCCTATGACCATAGCTACCACCCCATTCGTCTCCTAGAGTTTACCATCTGCCATCCTTCGCTATTATCTTGTTACATATGAAATGCTCACATACTGGGCATTGTTTTTTTTTTTACTTAATTTGGTGTTAAGCTTTTCATTAGTGCTGGAAATGAGCAGCACCCTGAAGCACTTTTTTAGGGTTTGTGATCGATACTTGTCCAATTTCCTTTGCACTTTAAAAGTAGACAAAGCTCTTAGCTTCAACCAGCTCCTTCTCAAGGCTACACATATCCCTGACTTTCAACCACAGTGATTTTTGCTTTAACTGTCTCTTTGTTTTATACAGTTGTACCAGTAAAGTACACATCCGAGCCAAGTAATCCTGCATCTTAAGTACTGGAGCCCTTTCACTGGGACAAGTTAGAAAGAGTATTATCGTTACCGACT